CATACAGCTCATCGTTCCATCGTCTGCGGTACTCGCCGTCGCCAACGCGTAAAGGCCCGTAAATCTTCTGCAAAATCTTTCTCTCAAACACTCCAAGAGCCGCCTCATCGGATGTTGTCATTGTCCATGCTTCTGCGCCATATACCAGCACGGGCATTATTAGTGACTTATAGAGCGTGGTTTTCATACGTCGAGAGAGGACTTGTCCCCTATGGTACATATATATGTACTGTAAACCCCGAGGTACAATTATAGGGTATTTCGAATGACAGTCAATTGCTCTGAAAATGATTTTCAAAAACTGCAATTTTGAGCTGGGCATTGAAATACATATGTACATACATCGAAATGAAATATGCAAATATAGAAAAGTATCGTAAGGGCTTCCATATTCGCCGGAGCAGCTCGGATGTTTCGAATTTCACAAAGTTTTCAGGATTCAGGAAAAACGAAAATACACATTGAAATAGGGACATACTTATAACAATTAAGTATGGCTGCAAAATAAGAAACTTGCGGGGTTATTAAAAGGGTAACTTTTCTTCAAATTTTCCTGTTTCCCAATTAGGAAAGATTGGTATTTCCATCCACATCGCTGGCTAAAGGATGGAAAAAATAGGCTCGGGTCTATACTCCAAGCACCTGCAGATAAGGCAACCATATTGGCTGTCTGATAACTGTAGTGTATTTTAAGCGGAGATTTTTGCCATAGAGAAGGCGACGGAATAGTAAGCCTCTGTCAGTGAACGTCACTATATTCGCTAACAGTCAGACTGATTTGAAAACATTTAGTTGCAAGTTAATAAAGGCGAAAGTAGTTAGGAGGTGTCATGCATCATGCTTATCACAACTTTAGGACAATCGCATATTGACAAGATTTGGCCATTTATCCTAACATTTTACATTTTTTTTCTATTGATATGTTTTTGAGATATTTGCAATTTATCGTTTATTCAGCTTAAAAAAAAAGTGGTTCAACTTAATCACGTATATCTTACGAACCAATTGAATAATGGCAAATGAAAGCCAATGAAATTCTCTAAAAGCCATATATACATCACTTTTCGAAAGGCCTGACAGTTTCTGAGAAATTAACTAAGAAAAAATAAAAAATAAAAACACTCGTTATTTTTTATTTTTCCCCTGTTAGTTTTTTCTACAATTACAAAAATTATACATTTCACATGAAATTTCAATTTGTCAATAGCATTTTCAATCTTGATAATTTATCAAGAAAAGAGATTTAGATTTTGGTGCTAGAATACCCATTCTTGATAAATAATAAAAAATTTACAAATTATAAAGATTTTCAATTTGTCAAGTGCACAGAATCGGGCTGTATATTTTTATAAACAAATAATTGAAATTTAAAACTAAACTTATATGAGTGTATAAGCACTATACTTTCTGTGCGCTATGGGACAGAAGCCCAAACTCGCGACAAAAATTATTTACAGTAGAGTTGGCCCCCCCAAATTTTGCATGCAGATTACCACTGGCCACAAAAGTGGTTCAGAAAACTAGGCGGGGGTCCGCAAACACTTTTACCAGAAGCTCCCTTATTAAGATGCTTTTTACAAAAAAAAATTAAAACTTGTTACACCTAAGCTTAAAAATTTTTGTAAACTAACGGTCAAACCACGCCCTCTTTTTCTTTGAAATATCCATATAAAAGCCAGACCCTCTAGGTAAGGTATTGTCACATAGCTCGCCCGAAGACCGCAAATAAAATTTTCTTGAATTTTTTTAAACTTATTTATATTTTTTTTTAGATAATTCTAGAAAAGTTAAATATATTTATGTACGCAGTGTAATTGATTAACAAACAACCTTTTACTGCAAAAGTAATCTGGAAAAAAACATAACGATATAAGTGTAAGGCGGACAAGGTAACACCGTAGTTAACATACCATCCTTAGTTTCATCATCGTCATCTACTTATAACTGTACTGAATATTTAAACCACGGTTCTGCGCTATTATCACAGCCACAGCTGGAACTGTCAGAGTCACAATTTGAATTTTCGAGCAGCTTGATGAAAATGAAAAGGCAATAAAAGTTCTGGCACCATTTCGGAGCTTTTGAAGAGCACAATTACTTTACGCGCAAACGACAGGGGAACAGGTGAAGCTTTTATAATTTAAAAATAATACACTAATATTTTGTGTATTGTGGCTGACATACAGTACCACTCATAGTTGCCAAAAAATACAAAAAAGTGCTATTAAACTCTTATGGATGTGTTCTAAAAAAAAATTACAGTCACGTCCGTGATCGATGCTAATAGATCCGCACGATAGAACGCCCTCCTGGCTGTGTTGCCATTAATAGTAGTGCCACTGTCCCTTGCTATTGGCTTATCTACATGAAAAAATTTCAGCATTTTTTAACTTGACAGTTTCTAAGAAAACTATTATTTGGCTCCAATTTTCAGTTTTTCGCAAAAGCTAATAGTAATACAAAAAACATGATGTTTTAACAATGAATTACATCTATAGTACTCCTTTAACAATTGTTAACAATACAAATTCTACTTCACGAAAGATGGTAAAAGTGTATTAAGTTTCACGAAAAACTACCCATTACAAATATCAAAATAAGTACTAAAGACAAACATTTAACTAAACATGTTAATTTCAGGACAAAGGACTAAATGCCTCAAATGGTGGAATCCATATTTATAATAAAATTCATATTGCGAGTATATTTTGCAAAATATTTTACTATTTTTGATAACTGAAAGCTTCACAACTGAAAAAATATGTTTAATAAAACATAAATATGTATGAACAACTGTTTAAGGATGAACACTGTAGCCGACTGTCATAAATTTTCTAAATCTTCCCGCTAATTTGCTGCAAATTGAACACAAAAAAAAAACTTTGCAAAAAGCGAAAGTTTAAAGAACTGAGTTTTTGCCGCTAAATATGAGAATGGCCCCATTGTGCAGTGATTTTGTAGTTTTAACGCCATACCCTTCTTTTTCTTATTGTTATTAATATTATGATTTGTTTGAAAAATCTTCCTTTCCTTATCATTCAGTTAATGTCATAATTTACATCGCCTACGTCGAATGGTTTCTAACATTTCATCAACACATTTATCACCAACAGTCTAATAGCTTTATTCCATTGTAACATGTTGAGCTAATGACAGTGTGTTGAAATTAGACTGCTTAGCAAATCAGTTCGCCATTAAGAATTGTTTTTATCCACTATGGTATCTATATCAACCAGTAAAAATATGCAATTTTTCAACACTTGCACGAAAAACATTTTGCAGTGGCAAATACGAAATTTGCACATAAACCACAACATTCGTAAAAGTATATTGCCTTACTTACTAATTATATGAATTGCCATTACATTTCGTAGCAATAATGAGCTAAATTAATTAACTGTGCCGCTGTGCTGTTAATTTGTAAAAGCATCCTCATGTTACACATCGTTTGGCAAACAAAAGACTTAAGCGCAAAACTCGACGACCGTTTAGTGCTCATTCATTAATCGAAGCTGTAAAATAACGTGAATTTCGCAATATTTTCATGCGCAAATTGGTTGTCATTGAAACGCAATCAGTTGTGGGTATTGCATGCAGACAAACATACATACATGCATACATATGTATGTACTATGTTTTTATGTGAAACATTACATTAACTCTAGTTATGCAGCCTTGCCGTAAGTCAGCCTGCTAGCCAGCCAGCCAGCCAGCCAGTCAGTCTGTGTTGATGAACGCTTCATTTGGCAGCGCTACTATGCAGTGGCGCATGCTTACACTAAGTCACTATTAGCTCGACTATAAGAGGGGTGGAGGGAGGGCCGCTTTTGCCACTCAATCGCTCTAATCACGAGCGATGCGTGAACGTTCACTGAATATTTTTTGTATATGTAGGTATATTTCTTTTGCACTTTTTGTATATACTACATATATAGTTGGTTATTTATTGTAGAATGCAAGTGATTGTACGTTCGCTTGTTGGGTGTTACGCTGCAGTGTGACTTTGTTGGTGAGAGTTACAATTTTGTAGGTACGTAGTTTAGTTACTCTCATATTTGCGCTTATTTTGAGTGTTGAATGAGGCAGAGTTGAGTCTTCACATTGATCGCTTGTTGTTTGCTCAGCTGCTCTTGTGTATGTACATATGTAGTTTCACCATTAGTTAAAACCAAATTCACCATACTGTTGAATGCAGTGAAGTGAGAGCACAACAAAGAGTGTAGTTAGTAAGTCGCTTACCTGGTTATGCGTTAGCCACTTTTTTGAGCGTTTAGTCTGTATTTAAATTTTTGGGCTGATTTTTTCTCATTTCACTATTTCATTTTTTGGTGTCCGAAAAAGAGTGAATATGAAATCAGCGCAATGACAAATGCCGTCAAGTCAACAATTGATGGCCATCGTAGCTAATGCATTGGAGGAGCTGGCAGTAAACAAGGTATGCGGCCGCATTGAGCGTCTGATACGTGACTTAAATTAAGTGTAAAAGCAAAATGAAAAAGCAAAGCAAAATAAAAACTACTTATTACCTGTTTGTGTTTTGTTTTTATATTTTGTTAATTTGTTTTGAGAGCGCAACAACTACACTCGTGTATTTAAGATCAGTTTATGAATTGAAACTCACCACACTTCAATTCAACAATATCAAATGAGCAAATCACCAATGTCTGTGCAACAACAACAACAACACAATTGAAACAACTTGGAATGGAATTTGTTGAAAAGATTGCAAAGCCGCATGCGGCCAACACACACACACACCACCACACCACCATACACACGCACACAAATGTGAATAACTCAACTTGTCTGTTGAAGGCTGCGCAGTCAACTCTTTAAGCTGCTTGCGTTGATTTGTTTTGTTAGCTTTTTTATTATTTATTTATTTCATTCTTGTATTTTTGATTTTGATTTTGCCTTTTTCATTTGCAGTTTGCTTTTGTCTGTTGGCTGACTAACTGGTTTTACCAACGTTGGGGCCTATCGTCTTGGCCTGTGTAACAGCTATTTCAGTTCGAGTTCGTGTTTTGGCTGGGACGGGTGAAAACGCCCAGCGCAACGGAAAAGTGTGACCGGTAAATGATCGAATAATGGTATTTGCAGCTGAGTGATGGTTGAGTGCCTACAAATTGTGAAAACTCAGTGAGCAATGGAATTACAAAAAAAAGGGCCTTAAAACAACAACTAATGCTAAATAGTGACAAAAAAAAAAAACAAGGGAAAGCAATGCAGTGATTTGTGGTGCTTTTTTGAGTTACTCGACTAAATTCTTATTTTGAAGTACCACTTTGTACTATTCTGGGAATTCAACTGCTTGAAAATACAAGTTTTTGCTAAAATAAAATAAAATTAAGTGAATAGAGTAAAATAAAATAAAATAAAATAAAATAAAATAAAATAAAACAAAATAAATAAAATAAAATAAAATAAAATAAAATAAAATAAAATAAAATAAAATAAAATAAAATAAAATAAAATAAAATAAAATAAAA